CACACACTCACACACAGTCTCTCTCTCTCTCTCTCCCTCTCTCTCTCTCTCTCTGGGTATGTGTGTGTGTGAATAACCCTGGAAACATTTCCATTATAATCTTCAGCACCACATGTGTGCTCTGTTCTACCATTGTAACCGGGTCTACCAAGATGACAGATCCCATCTGTGATGAAGGAGAGAGAGAGAGAGGTGGAGATGGTGGTGGTGGAGAAAGGCTGTCAAGCATGACGGCAACAGCACACACCTAACACGCACTGTAGCCTCACAATCGCACAATGTAGAATGAATCAAAGAACAGACTGATGCCGGGGTACACCCCCAATGGACTGACTGGACTAAAATGATACTGACATTGGTACCGGGTGGAATAATAAATGGCCTGTGAGATCAGGCCCAGGGCCATAGCCAAAAATGGGCCTGGCCCATAGCCCATGCAGAGTACTGCTGCACGATCCTCGAACCTCTATGCTAAGATCTAGGATGCAAAGCAAGCTCCGTACAAAGCAGATGACACCCTAAACTACATACTATCGATAAGAAAACAGCAAATGTCTGATACGCAAATCCTTTTTCTTTGTTTTTTTTTTTTGTACAAAACTCAGAACCTCAAGGTTCTGGCTCCTACCATTCTGGGGAGCAACAGTCCGGTTCCTGTTCCCCCGGCAAGTCAATGATGAATACAATAAGGATGCACATACTCTCCTCCCCATTATGGTGAGAGGCCCGAGTGGACGGCATTGATTACTTCCTTTTGGAAGGATGTACCACCCCTCACCCCTGCCTAAGTTAGCCTGCTTGACTTAGGACCTGACACTCTAGGTAGGCTGGCTTACGCTACTTCTGTTTGTGGCATGTGGTGTATCTTCGTAGGACTTGACTAGCTTACTCCGCTCAGCTGTTCGGCTGTCGGACCAGATTTAAGTACTGAAGTTACTGGCCAGACTCGTATGCTGTTGGTTTTGCTAAGTAGATATAGAACCTTAGGTGTTCCGGTATTTGATGACGTTTGAAATTTCTGTTAGTTGGAAGTTGTAGATAGCTTCTAAGGCCTATGCCCTGCACGCTAAACCCTAAACCCTTACTCTCCCTCTGCCTCTGTCCGTGTTTCTGGACTTTTTTTTACTGCCGGAACTGCTGATGCGTCCTCCTATGGTAAAAATCTATATGGGTTGTGCTCTGTGGGGCTGTACTTGCTGTGCTGAGTGTGCTCCTGACGAAAACCCTAAACCCTTGCTCCCGTGGTGAAAATCTGTATGGGCCGTGCTTTTGTAGGTCGTATCTGTTCTTGTTGGTATAGCCATTTAGAATTGTTTCCGTGTTGTAGTAGTTGGCCGTTCCCTATGTTGATTTCTGCTGCTGCTGCTTTTTTTTTTCTTTTTTTCTTCCTACTCTAGCACGTAAGAGGGGCGACCACTTTAAATGTCGAATAGTCTTACTTCCCTTTCATCTTGATTCGTCTAAGTCAACCCCTTGCATGGAGGCAAAGAGGAAGTTGTCTGCACCTAAGGGTCAAGACTCCTCTCTAGGAGGCATCTGGGGCGGGGGTTCGTTGCTTTAGGAGCCGGCCTTGCTATCGACCCGGAGTGGACCGTATTCACGGGGGAATACTACGCTGTATCACGGTGGAGCCAGCCCGCTTCCAAGTCCTGAACAACGTGTTCGGGCGAGGAAAAGGGGTATTCCAGACCACTTCCTAGAGGGTAGGGTGTCTTGAAACTAAGAGTAGTTGCCTTCTCATGTTTTCAGGTAAAGGGGAGGCTGAATCTAGTACCCTGTTGGGTGGCCGTCTTAGGAGCCGCCAGCATGTGGGGAACTGGCGTCAAAAGAAGCCCAGTTCGTGTTTCAACTAGTGTCAAAAGAAGTGCAAGTAGGCACTACTTTCGCGGCGGGACCGTGACAGAAGAATCACGGCCCAGGAAGGGAATGAAAATTGAACATGAAAATTGGTATATCTAAATTCAGTTTGACAAAGTTACTACTTTGTCTTTGAGATGTTCGAGAAGGCGGTGATCCTCCGATTCTTTAGCACGCGTGAGGGGGCGACGGATTGATTAGCAGTGCCGACACGTTATCGCGCCGGTATGATTCGGAAAGGGAGGTTGGTGTACAATTCACACGAACTTTTTTCGGAGCAGGATCAACCGCGATTTTGGGATGGGAGCACGAGGGAATCGCCACGGAGCTATATTTTATTGGTTGAACCAGGTATTGTGCGGTATGATTTTGCGCCTCCTAATATGGTCCCCTGTCTTACCGATTTCGTCATTTTGTATGGATTGGAGAGAAAACCATTGACTTGCACTATCCCTTGGGCGTCATTGTATAAGATTCTTACCCATTTGCGGAAATGTGGGCCTACTCCCATTTTTTCCATGCAGATTTGTAGGAAATCCCAGTTAACTTGATCGTATGCTTTCTCAAAGTCAAAGAACAGTAAGGCTGCTGTGATTCTTTTTTGTTTTATTAATCTGATGGATTCACTCAATGTCATAACATTATCTAAGATGAGTCTTCCAGGGATGCAACCTGTTTCGTCTAGATGGAAACAATTCCTTGTGATTCGGTTGATTCTTGTGGGTAGCAGCGTGGTTACGATTTTGTAAGCTACGTTGAGCAGTGAAATGGGGCGGTAGTTTCTGATATTTTCCTTGTCTCCCATCTTGTATAGAAGTGTTACTAATGTACTTAGGTCTACTCCTAGGGACTCCTTTGTCCATGCTTTATTTAGGAAATTTAGGAAAAGGGGGTCTAACGTGTGCCAACTTGCGAGCCATAATTCTTTGGATAATCTATCTCTTCTTGGAGCTTTGTTGGGTTTCATATCTTTGAGAGCTTTGTGTAGTTCCTCCAAGGTAATGGGTTATTCTAATTGGTTAGCTGTTTCTTTAGAAAGGGAGTGATCCAAGTGTGTTAAGAATTTATTCCTAGCCCTTGTGACTTCGTTGTGTATTCCCGTTGGGGTTTTGCTGGAGTATAGGTCCTTATAGAAGTTGGCTGCTATGTTGATGAATTGGGTAGTTTTTGAGGTGGGGTTTCCATTTGTGCCTTTGAGGCTTTCTACCTTGGCGTTCCTGGAGTTGGATTTGATTCTTTGAAAGAAGTGTTTGGTTATTTTTTTGTTCAATTCCCAGTCTTTTACTCTTGCTCTTAGTTGAAGGCCTCTGAGTTTCAGTTTAGTCCACTCACTTAATTCCTCTTTCGATTTGGAATAGAGGTCTACGTAGGAAATTGAGTTGGTATTATGCTTTAGGTTGATCTCGGCTATGTCTATAGCGTTTCTCAACATCTCTTCCCTCTCGTTTCTTTGGGTGGTCAGCCTTCTTGATGCTAAGGCCACTTTTGAGCTGATACTGTTGATGATCTTGGGGAACTGAGTGAAGATGTCTTCTCCTTCCGCCTTCTGAAGAGAGTGGGCTAATATACTCTTCAACTCAGTTTGGAAGGTTTGGCTAGTTAATAGGGCATGTTGAAACGGTAGAAGCTCTTTCCCAAGTATCCACTTTTCAAAAATCTGAGATCTGGTGTGATGGGTTTGTGATCGAATCCGTTGTGCTAGGGAGCTCTTTCTATTTTGCAATCTTGAACAATGCCTGCAGGAATTCGGAGATGAGTCTATTCTAGAAAATGAGGTTCTGTTGAGCGTGGTTTTCCTAACGCAAGAGTAGTGTTTCTCTTCTGGGTATATCAATCGGAATGGGTCTACTAAATTTTTTCTTGTGATGAAGTTTGTTAGTTCTATGTTGTTAGAATGTTGAGATGGGTCGAAGTCGTCGAAGATCATGAATGAGTAGAGAGTGATGTTCCTCGCGGAACGGAAAATAGGCGCTAGCGCTTCGCGACCCGCGGACGGCAGGGCCCGCCCGCCAGGCATCGTGCAAGCTCATGGGTGATGGCTGCCAAGCTGGCATCCCAGTTGCTCGCGAACTTGACATCGGCGTCCACCGGCCATGCAAAGCCGGAGTGGGCGAAGCCCGCGCAGTGACTGCCAGATGTGCTGACGCCAGCGCGACAATCGGAGGAAGTATAGCAGTGATCGGAGGAAGCTTCGAGGTGTTGATGATCAGCATCTGGGAGGTTCGAGGCGACATAGCGGGGAAGGAAATCCTACGTACCTCTTGGGATCAACCTTGTGGAGGCGGGGGGCATGAAGATACGGGGATGTGAAGTGGAGGATAACCAGGTGCGCTATGGGATCTATACTTGGGAGGTGGTGACCAC